AAATCAAGTTTTCTCCTCAATCACCTGATCAGTCTAAATCCAAGAAAGTGCTACAGCTGAACTAAGCAAGTCACACAGAGCTGAGGATAGGCCTGTTTTTCTGTGTCTTGTGTACCTGCCTTGGCAGGGCACTGAACATGAGAAACTGGAAATTCTATGACTGTATATTTCTACGTGGCTCCCATCCAGGCAGGTGGCTTTAGCCCATCAGCATCCATCCAGATAGTTATCCTCTCAACAGCAAAGCATGAAACCCAGGTAGTATAATAGGCTCTCCATGGTAGAACATATGTGTGATCAAGTGAACCTGAAATCCAGCTCTTAACTACTCTGGGCTATTTTTCTTGTAGCAACAGCCCCTTTAGGCACTGAACTAGGAAAGCTGGGCTTCCTCTCTTTCCTGTGCAGCACCCAGAGATCTGCTCAAACTGCATGTGGTCAGTGGTCTAAAAGGGATGTGAAAAGTCCTCTTCCCTTGTCCAACACGTCATCTCAAACTCCACAAAATTACATATTTACACAAAATATGAACACATACTTATGACAATCACCAATAAAATAATTAGCGTATGACACATATAACACAATCTTATCTTTAGAAAAAAATAACAAAAAATAACTCTCATTTCTGTAACTCTACAAACCCACCTCTGCACTGGCATCATCATCAGGCTCAATTCTCTAGCTCATGAGAGCCACCTTGACATATCTTTGTGTCTAGAGGCAGAGCAGATACCCATGACCCAGTATTAACTGTGCTAGTGTGTGAAGTTCTGGCAGGAGAATGAGAAAATCTGTATCAGCTGTAAGAGAAACTGGAGTCTGATCCAGAGGAAACAAAAAACTGCCTAAATGTGGCAAAACCTTGACTTAGAAAAGTACAGAAGAAAATGCTTAAGTGAAAGAGTAGTACATGACAGAAACGAAATCCATGGAACTATAAAAAGTATAATTCATATACCTGGGGACTGAATTAAATACAATATTTTAAAATTGTGTGGTTTGTCTCAAGTAAAATAGGATCTTGTTTAATTTCTTTTATCAGAGTGGGACAAATTGCATTTAGTCTCCCAAATGTGATCAACAGCTTTAAAATTTAGCTGATCCTAATCCTCCTCCATAACTCTGAATCTGCCCTGGATATCACCTCTGTCCTCCGTGTCACAGCACTTTAAAAATGTGCAACTACTGAGCTCATTAGACTTCAGACTGAAGCATGAGTGTGTATCAGCTATTCTCGCTGTCCTGTAATGCTCAGAGGTCCTCTCTGAAGGGTAAGTTACATCTCCCACAGAGATTGAGTGACTGAGACAAAAATTACAACCGTAAAATTTTAATGTAAATATATTTTACATTATAATGTAAAATATATTTACATTTTACATTATAAAAATGTAAAATTTTTACATTTTATGTACTGGGGTGAATGTCTACTAGTTAGATCAGCATTGGATGTACTGTAAGAAACATGCTCTAAATAGCTGGAACAGCATTCAACCTCATGAGAAGGGAAAGAAATGGAAATAGGACAAATGGACCAAAACCAAAACAAAATCTTACTATCATGTCTGTGCTTTTTGTCAAATTTAATTTTCTTTTTCTTTTTTTTTTTTTTACCTATGGAAACACTTCTTTCTGAATTCTACCTTGCAGGATGGATTTTCAGGTCCCTTGTGCAAAAACAAAAGTGAAGTTGTCTGTGACATACATTCTAGCAGTTCAAAAGCAACCAAAAATTACAAGACTGATGCCCCAAGGCTATTAGAGACCAAAAGGAAAGGTTCATGAACTGTAAGCAGCCAGACTCACTTCCACAGGCAGTTGTGACAGAGCTTGGTTTAATGTGAAACCTCTCATTGTGTCAAATCAAGTCAAGCTAGAGCTCTCTGATTCCTTATCATACATTATGAATAAAGGAGAGGTAAAGAAGACAGAACCCATGAAAGCAGAGAAAACAAAAACAGTTCTAGAGGAAATGAGCATTTCCTGCAATCTGACACTCATCACAAGTTGAAAGCCAGTACTGTTTAAACATTTCTCTCTCAGACCCCTCTGTCTCTGAATTCCAGTAGGCAAACTGAAGGTGCAGCACACTTGAAGGACCTCAGAAGTGGCGAAAGGAGAGAGAAGAGCAAAGAAAGCAATTGTCAGGAAATGTTCAGCTACCTCTTAAGTGGGGGAGCAAACTATTCTCAGGCCTCTGCTATTAAAAACAGCTGTCTGCCTTTGGGGCTGCCTGCACAGCCAAGCACAGAAAGCTGCAAGAGGGTTCTGCCCAGAGTGCCCACTGCCAAATTATCATAACCAAAAGAGGTAATAGGAGAGGGGCAAGTCTCACTCTCCCCCAGAACAAAGGAACTGTTTTACTATGAAGTGTTATGGAAGTGTTAGAATGGGCTGAGAAAGAACTTTCATAAGTTTCCTTGTGAAGCACTCCAGTTCCTCAAGTGGGTGCTGCTAAATCCACTTCTGTGGTTCACAAACTGAATTAAAATCAGAATCAGAAATATTAACCAGAGAGGTAACTAATTTCCTTCTTTCAAATATTAACCTCTAAAATTTTAACTTTAATATAGGTGAAAAGATCACACAAGCTAAGTGAGGTGTGGTTTACTGTGGCAGGCAGCTAAAAACCACATACATAGCTGTTAGCTCACTTCCCAGAGTGAAATGAAAGCAAGAACTGAAAAAAAGGTTAAACTTGTAGGTTAAGATAAAGATAATTTAATAGCATCAAAAAGGAAGGGAAAATAATAACAACAATAATTAAAAAATACACAAAACAAGTGATACACAATGATATTTGTCACCACCCACTGATGCCAGTCCCCAAGCAGTGGGCTCCCACCCACAGCCAACCCCCACCAATTTTATTTTTCAGCATGATGCTCTATATAGTAGAAATACACCTTTTGGGGAATACACCCCATTTGGAGTCAGGTCTCCAGTCTGTCTCACCACACCTTCTGGTGGTCCCTGACTCTTTACTGACAGGACAGAATGAGAACACTCAGAGAAAGTACTGCTCAGAAATGACAAAAATATCAGTGTGTCACCAGCATTATTATCATCCTAAATGCAAAATACCACTGTACCAGCTACTAGAAAGAACATTAATTCCATTCCAGCTGAAACAAGGATAATCCTTCCTTACTCATATATATGAGTAAGGAAAGAATATGTGTTAATCAGAATTTAACCATTTATGTTATGCCTGAATCTCACAATTCCTAATACATCCTGACTAATCATTGTCACCTTTCTTGTCTTTTGATATTCACATACAGGTATAGTTTCCTTAGTATATAGGTAGTCTTGTGAATTCATTTAGTCCATGAGTTTGGCTCCATCTGTCACAGCAGTCCTTCAGAGCAGGAAAGATGATCTGTGATGTTGGACGCTGAAGCCAGTTCTGGTTCTGTCACTGCTGAACTTTCACTGGCTTCATCAGAATTATTTTTTCATTAATCCAGATAATTCTTACTGTAATCATGCTGATATGACATATTGCAATTATAGTAGAGATTAAATATAGTATAATGGAGCAGTTAGCACCTTACAATTCAAGTCATTGTCCTGTCTTAGTCAAAATCAAATCCCCTTGAGGTACACCCTCATCAGAGTTCCCCACCCTCCTGCATACCCACCAAGACTACCCAGGTCCTGAGCAAAAGAAATCCTGTGGACGGATTTGTCACTGTCTGAGGCAGGAACAACCCAGAGTGACCTCCCCAGCATATTTCTAATGTGCCCTAAAGGAACTTTATCCCCTTCTATAGTACATGAATGCTTATTGGGCCAGCTCAATTGGCAGATCACCTAATATTGACTAACCAGCAGGCTTTTGAAGGCCTAGCAGTCATTGCCCTCAGTGTAGTGTTAATCAGTTAGTTAGTATATCAGTTATATCACTTGATTTTCTCTCACTTGTGTGGATCCTGTTTGGTACCATAGCCCAGTGTGTGTCTAAGTGGCATAGCAAATGACAGACTGTGGGCCCCCTTAGAATATGAGGGCTGCATTCTAATCTCCATCCCTGTCTTCCAGCTCAGAGAGCTGTGTACCCCAATAATCCCAATAATAATTGGTTTTATAATTAAAAACTCAGGCAAATGAGACATTTTTTCCTCATTCTTTTTCTCATTCTTTATCACAATTTTTAACCCCCACATACAATAAAGGATGAGATTTTCTTTAGTCTTCCTTGTGTTGCTGATGTATTTGTAGAAACATTTATTATCTTTTATATCAGTACCAGATTAAGTTTTAGTTTAGCTCTTCTAATTTTCTCCATGCACAACCTCACAACATCCTTGTAGATCTTCTGTTTTTCTTGTCCCTTCTTTCAAAGTGTATGTACTCCTTTTTTGCCCAGGTTCCAGCCAAAGCTCCCTGTTCAATCTGATTGGTCTTCATCTCTGCCAATGGGTTTTATGGCACCAGGGATAGCCTGCTCAATGCAGCAGCCCAGATGCTCTGTTTCCATTGCTGTAATCAACTCCACAGGGTGTTTGCCAACATCCATGAGTCAGTAGAGATAAAACACTGTTGGCTTTTCTCATTCAGCAATGTTTAAAGCCAGCTGGATGGCCTTCCTTTAAGCAAATTGGCTCTATTAACCTTCTGCAGCAGTTTCTGTGACTTATCATATAGAACTCCATACAGCAGTTTTCTACTTCAGATGATTTCCTACAACAGGACTTATCAGGGAGCTGGGCATATTGCTTCTCATTTTCTGGTAGTTTATTATAGATTTGGACATCATCAGCAGACTTCACCTCCTCCTCTGGCAATACTTCAAAATCTTTACCTTCTGTCCGGTTCATGATTTCTGTCCAAGATTTCAGGGCAGCTGAGGTTTCCTAGTTGAGCCTGCTGTGTGATCTCTGTCCTTTGAACATCCAGCCCAGCGCTGGCAGTCAGGATGCCAAGAGGAACTGCCCTTCTGTACCAGTCATTTTCAAGTCAACTCAAACTCTTTCTTAAGCTAACAGTACCTCTTTTTCCGTTGGATTATAATGGATTTCATGTCGGGTGTATCCCCAAATCCAAAAACCTAGGGTTTCACCTCAAGTGCTTTCTGACAGATGTTGCCAGTAGGGCTATTCTCCCTGGCTGTGGTGCAGGGCACATATCTTACATCTTGTCTTCACCAACTGACTCAAGAGTTGCTGCTTGATTTCCTGTTTGATTTGTTCAAAATCTTGTTGCTCAGGGTCCCACTTGAAATTAGAAATTGTTCTTTTTTTGGGTTACTGGATAAAGTAGGCTTTCAATCAGGCTGAAATTTAGAGTATGCATGCCCCATAAACCCAGAATGCCTAAAAGAGCTTGTGCCTTCTCTTTGCTAGTTGGTGAAGATGTTGTTTTGTTTTGTTGATCACATCCAATGGGATTTGCGATGTTCATCTTGATGCTGGATGCTAACAATTTTATTCATAAAAATTAGATGTCCTGTGCAGATCACTTGAACTTTGGCAAAATCAGATTAGCTTTCAGAAAAGTTTGTATTATTTTCTTTCCTTTTCCAAAAATTTCTGTTGCTGTATTGCCTCACACAATGATATGATCAACCTACTGTGGGTGTTCCAGAGTTTCACTCTTTTCCAGTTCAACCTGGATCAGTGGATGGCAGATGGTGGGGTTGTGTTTCCACACCTGGGTAATTGATTCCAGGTGTACTGGACATCCCTCAGGTTTGGTCAACTGCTCTTTCTGTGTCCTTTCAGCTTTTGGTGCTCCCAAGTCTCTTCACTGGTGGTGCATCATGAGAAGATGAAAAGTCCTTAAAGTCCTTGACTTAGCGTAGGTGCTGCTCAGCAACAATTAAAACACTGGTGTGTTACCAACATTATTCTAATCCTAAATCCAAAACAAAGCACTGTATTAGGAAGAACATTAACTCAATCCTGACTGAAACCAGGACAATGATTATGTCAGCTAAACTGTGTTTTCTTCCAAACTAGTGACCTTGGTAACTGTTCAAGTCCACTTGGAGGAAAATACTTTTCTGAGAAAGTGTTAGCGTAAAGGGGAAGGAAAAAAATTAAACAGCTTTACTTTACAGACAATTCTTACAATGGCAGAATTCTGTTAGCACATCTAAACCAGCAATCTGAAAAATACTGGAGAAAAAACATCAGACAGGAGGTGTTCAGAGTTATCAGATGGATAACTTAGGAAAATATATACTTCAAACTTTTTAGTGCCCCCCCAAAAAATATCTATCACTATCAACAATCAGATTGTTGATACAGTGCTAATATTTTCTAGACTGACAATAGGTATAGTACAAATCCTTACTTCTACGAGTAACTTCATGTGCCTAAATAGAAGCATTTACTGAAATGGACATATATGCATCATCCTCACTGCCCTCTATACTTTAACCAAGTTTTGCTATTAGAATAGTACTTTTTTTTGCATCCTAACTCAAAAAACATAAAGAATCACAAAGATTTCATCAGTATGCCTCAGGCTTCCTTACAGAACTGAAAGGAACAGCCATCTCAGCAAAATTCTCTTTCTCTTTCTTCTATTGATTTTTTATTTTAAGAAGCAACAAAAAGCAAAGCAATTTCTCATTCAAAGTATGGTGCCCCTGCCTCAGTTTTCAGATGATATTTTAAGCTATTCCACTGTTTTTTGTGTTTTAATACATCTCAGTGAATCTTCATAGCACTAATGCAGAAATGGGAACTTATATCAGTTCTGCCGCTTTACATCGAGTATAGAGAAAAATGAAGAACAACTTCAGACATAAGAAAATGTAGTTTCTTATTTCAATGTATTTGCAGCCTGGATCTCTCTCTAATGTGAGTGAAAATGTAAGATGACATGATTAGGTAGGCTTTAATAGAGAAAAATATTGTGGTTCACACGTAGAAAGCACAGAGGGGGCAGTGATGATTTGAAAATTGCAGCAGAACGGAAGAGGACTTTTTGTGGCTCAAGTTGTCTATAAGTGTCACCAGAATCCTAAGAATTTATAAACATTCAAATATTTAATTAAAAATATTCTTTTTAAATTCCTCCTTCTTTTATTCTTTCTTTCTTTCCCCCTCCCCCTTTGTCTCTCCCTCTCTCTTTGTGTATGTCTCCCTTTTTCTCTCCCCTTCTTTCTCTTCTAAAGGCATTCAGGGTTTACTTTAGCTAGTAAAAGCATAATGAACAAAAGCAATGTCAAAAAGTGAGTGAGACTGACCTTATTCTTAAAGTCAGAGCTGTATTTAAAAATCTGGAAGATTTTTATCTGGAAGATAGCACATGTTTTTTTAACACTTGGTGTACAAGCCTTCTATAAATATGACGTTTAGTATGTCTTTCAAAATATTCGCTCGTGAACATATTAAAAAGATGTAGTGTATTCAAAATTAAAATTATTAATTTGGATATTAAAAATTAAGAGAAAATTATGATAATGAAATTGCTCACTGCAATTTGTAATATAATTTGAAAAAAGGCTATTCTATTGTTATTCAGATGACATCTACGTCAACAAGCTGTGACAAAGATGGACTACCTTCATGCCACAGAACAATATGGATAATGCAATAACAGGAATTTTAACTGCTCAATAAGTTGAATGAAGCATGACAATGAGATTTTATGAAAGAAAAATTCATCACTTGAATAAAGAATTGCAAAAAGTGGGAAAGATGCTAAAAATGACAGATTATGGGAACAGAACAGGACAGACATCTCATGCTGCAGGGAAAAAAATAAAATGATAAAATACCAATCTAGATTTGTGGTTGTCTTGTGTATATATTCTGATCTTCAAAATGTGACAGCATGTGTATAAACACTGGGGCCTGATAGAAAATTGCAACTTGTCAACAACCGCTGACAGCTCTGCACAAGAACATAAAAAGCAGAAATATTTTGTCTCTGTTAGCAAGATTATGGAGGATTAGACTAAGAAAACACTTCTTACTGGAAAATGATTGTGTAATTCTTCTTTTTATATGTGGGACATTCTAACTACATATCTCTTTAGGAACTTGCTAAGCTAAATTCACCTTCACAAATGTAGAAATATATTACAAACACTGACAAAATAATTCAGCTTCAAGGCCAAATTGCTTTGTTGACTCTAGTTGAATGTCTGTGAGGGGTCCATTGAATTCAACAGACTTGCATAAATCACAGATGACAAAAGGTAAGTGAATCTAAGTCTTGGGAGTAGATGTTAATTTTAAAATAGAATTTTGGTTTTATGTTTCAATTTTAAGTGATGGGATGGATTGAGCTTGGTTTAAAAATCTGTTTTTCTGTCTCAGGGAGTACATTCAAGAACCAGGCATGGTTCCTCAGAACTGCAACAGCTGTCAGGTCCCTGTTCTCACCGAGCAGAGGCCAGGTCCACTGCACAGAGCAAGTCGGCAGAACTCTGACCTGAACATCTCCTTGTTTTTTTTTCTCCTGGCAGCAGATAATGTCCATTGTCTTTACACCACAGTCTGCTATCCCTTACCTTACAATGAGCCCTGGTTTTCCTGCAGGACTACAGATGAAATTAAGTAACTGGCCTCATTAATTAAGGCACACAGCTATCACATACTTCCTTAAATTCTGTGTGCAATTAAAAGAAACCCCACTATCCAACCCAAAAACTTTGCATAAATATACCTGCAGAAGTTACCTATGTATAGGACTTGAAAAAAAGGTCAGTATTGCACAAAAATTATATTGAATGTGAGCAAGTTGCTACCTCAAACAACTGCAGAATGCTAGACAGGTTCTACCTTTCACTTTAGAGCCAGGACCAGTCCCACTTGAGCAACTTCAAAAAAGTGCTCACTGCCTCTTAGCTGGGGCAGTGGGCAGTGACATGCCTAACATAGTGTTAACTCCCAATTAATGGGGCAATGTTGAATCCTCATCCTTCTTTAAATTCTTTATAAGTCTTTTGTTTGAGTTCACAGGTAAACTTAGATTAAAACTTTACTAGAAAAACAACAGACTGAATGATATAATCAAAATATCTAAATAAAACCAACACTGTTGTAACATCTTTAAATATTTCATGGTCTGCACCTCTCTGAATGTCTGAATGTTATCATGGATAACAGTCTGGACTATGTTTCAGAATACAAAATTAGGTTTCCTATTTCTTTTATATCACTGGCAAGAGACTAAATTCTTTTTGGAAATAAGGAACACAAGACAAAAGAGGAAAAAAAATGTCTTTTAAACTGGTTAAAAGGTAACCCAGCATGTCACACATCCTTTCATCCCAGAAATACATAACACCCTAATTTCTCTCCACAGCTTCACACAGGCAAAATCTGATCCAAAAATCTTTTGATCAGAAATCTGATTAATTGTTTAAGAATGAATTGGCTTTAACCTGTGTCTTTTTTCACCTGATAAAAACTGCTGAGAGTTCTCTTCTGCCAGGAGCAAGAAGTCCCCTGCTCTACTTCAGGAGTCACTCCAATGGCCCTCAACCACAATCTTAACCTCTCTGAACAGAGATTCTCATGCAAGAATGACACACTTACCTAAACAAACCTGCAGATAAAAGGAAATCCTTAGTCACCATATGATTTAACTGCAAAGATTTTTATGTACCTACAGCTGGGCTTCTGGCTTTGCTAAGAAGTGTTTCAGCCTTGATGATTTGGGACAGTTCAGCAACTGATCCAAACTGAAGCTTTGCCAGGATTCACAAGCTAATTTATCTTGCTTCCCAGCTTCACCTACCACCTGTGTACTTATGTGAAGAGAGATGCTACACAAAGGATGGTCCCATTTCTCCTCTATTCAGTATCTGAATGGCTGCAGCTCTCATCTATGACAGACAGGATTCCATTAGTTTCTAACCCTCTTAAGGAGACTTACCTAGCTCTTAATCAGTAAGTACTCACTCTGGAATGAGTATTTTACATTTCTTCCTGGAATTGTTGCCAAATCTGTATGAAAAAATTACACAAGAGGTAGAGAAAGTTGGTGTGAGTGTGACACTGAAAGCTTAAAAACATTAAAAAGCTGTTAGCTGCAATCTTTTTCACTGAAATGTGGCTCACGCTAAATAGGCAGTAGGACAGAAACTAGAATTTACCATTATTGATGTAATAGTTTGAAAACAAATCATGATTCCTTTGCCATTTCTAATATTTTTGATGGAGAATTAGCTGTCATACTTCAGGAATGTTTGTAGTTGTGAATACGGAACAAATGCAACAGGTCCCTTGCATGATAGTTGAGTTGCAAAAGTGCCAGCTTTAGGTCTCTAAGGCTCACCCCTCTTTTCAGACTTGCTCCCATAGGTAAACATTATCTTTCCTGTTGGAAGATGGCCTTTGCAGACCCCATTCCTGTACATCTAAGGCTATATCAGTATCTTTCAGATACATGCACCCATGTTATCATTAGCTCTGCCAGCACTGCACTGCTGAGGAATGTTTTCCAAAGACACCACAAGGGCTGCATACACACAGGATCAGTTACCTTCGGCATATCCTCATGCGAATCCTGTGACACAATTTGTAGACACCAGGCAACAAGGCTCTGCCACTTAGTAGGTCAGGAAACTGCTGCACTGTGTTTCATTGCACCCAGGCAGACATGTCCTAACTTGCTTATTATGTTTCATAATAATCCAAAGAACCCACTTGTACTTTGTAAGTTCCATTAAGTGCTGTTGACATGCAGTGACAGATGAAACTCAGAGGTCTGGAAGGATTACGACCCTCCCCTGAGCACTCATCATACCTGTGCAATGAAGGGGACATACTTTTACATGTAATGCTACAATTCTTTGTTTTAACATGGACACTTTATCTGTGGTATTTAATGGGAACTGAAATTCTAAATTTGCAAAATTTTTAACTGTGCTTGTTTGCACAATTAAATGTCCACATCTAGTAAGGGGACATTGGCCTCTGGGGCAGGTAGTGATCATGTCAGATGGTAATTATGTTAGCTGTCTCCTGTGGCTGGCTGACATGTGAAACAAGACTTCGCTTTATCAGTGCCTGCTTTGTCCTGGTCGGTCCAGTCAGATACAGCCTGAGCTAATGAATGACTTTTCAAAGCTTAGCTAAGATACCAAGAGTTAGGGGGAGGGTTGAAAAGCCGAATAGAGTAAAACCTCAAAGGTTTGATAGCCCATAGGGTTTATCTGGAAGCAACTTCCACATTTATTTTTCTAATTACTATGTTGTTAGTGTGCTTATGGGTGATAAGGCAGTAAACACTGCCAAGAACTTTACACAATTCCAATGGAATTCAGATTGCAACCGGTAAAGCAGATCATTCATAATCACACTGAACTTTTCAGCACTATTTGTACTGATGTCATTTTTCACATACAAGACAGTGGAAAAAGTCAGAATATAATTATTTGAAGTAAACTGACCATCTTACATTATATCTTCTGTGAGGTAAGGTTTAATCAGCTCCTCTGTGTTGGGACTAAAAAGTTTGTGAGTGCAAACAGGAAGTTATATATGCAGAACACATCTCAGCTGTTCAATCCCATGTTGTGGGAGGAAGGCAGCACAAATTTCAGCAGCTCTCTTTAATAGCTGTTGTGACAATTACATATTAAGTTTGGAAAATTTGCCTTTGAAAGCATTCTAGACTGAGAACTACCCTATGAACTACCCTGTGAATTGCTCTAAAGCAATTATACATGACAGTTAATAATTTTTCTCTGTATGCTTATTTCATGGGTTTTGCATTTTGCTTTATTAATTAAAAGCACTTCACATTTCAAAAAAATTAAATTTTAAAAAATGATGGAAGTTCACACATCTGTTTTCAGAAAATTGTTACTAAACATTTACATCATAAAACATCTTAATTAGCCCCTATATACTTCCATACCTATAAACAATTTCTGTGTTATTGAAAATTCAGAATCCTAAAATAGATAGTTAACTTTAACTCATAGTATTTTGATCCTTTCCATTACTTTAATATTTCTACAAATCAAAAATAATTTCCAAGATGAGTGCAGGACCATGCTACATAGTTTTGCAGTTTTTAAAATGTCCTACATTATGTGACTGCCATTTGAGCAGATTGCCCCTCTCTACTATTACTGCACTCTCAGAGTACATAAACATTTGCAGTAAAGCCTACCATTTAGCATACAGTACTTAACAGACTGCAGAGCAACGTGTGCAGCTAGGATACTTTGAAATGCATTTTATATCATCTGTAATTGCATTAAACTTGAACAAAATGTCATAGCAGTGGAATAGTATGGAAACAGCTCAGTAGTTTTGGCTCTGAGCTCATAGAATGCATCCTAGTAAAAAGAACTCTTCTGACATGTTCTGACATGATGTTAACACAATTACAAGCATCACAATATACAGAGATAGGAAAATGGCAAGCTGAAAAAATGTTACTTTTTTTTTTTTTTTTTTTTTTTTTTTTTTCTGGAGGAATCATAGTGGTTATTCTCTTCCTGGCTTTGCTAAAACTGTCTTTGGAAATTGCCATGAGACAAAACCTTCTTTGATTTATCCACAAAGGAAATAAGCAAGAAGAAAAGCCTTCCTAGCCAAAGAGTAAGTCATTCTATTACGTGCTTCAAGCATGTCCAACTGCGGATCTTGGAGATGCTTAAGAATTACAAAGTAGAGAATAAAGGCATATGTGCATTCTCCTGCCCTGTCCACAAACACTGCCTCTGTGTTGTGGCAAGTCCTTCTTCCTTTTACAACTGCCTTGTATGACTGTATGAAGCTAAAGTGCAGTGCTGGCACAGATCTGCCAGTTCCTATTACAGTCGTTTTCCCCTCCAACAAAGGAAGATCTGTGGCACGTGTCCCTGTGGCAGCCCTGGGATGCTCAGATGTCCCACTGGCAGAAAGCAGCTGCATCACCACTGAGCATTTCAGCTGACGAGTCTGCTCAGTTTTCTGCATGAATAAAATCAAACATGGCAGATTAAAGTCCCTTAGTTGCTATTTCTTTCATATTGGAGGCTAAATATTGCAGTGCTGACAAACACTTGTTTCTTTCCTCAAAAAGATCAGATTTAGGGGCCAAGCTGTCTTTATTCTCATCTATGCAAAGGGTTCTGTCAGCAGTGAGGATATGACATAATGAAAATTATGAAGAGAAGTCTCTACCTCATCATGATAAGACTTGCCAGATGCTGTCATGTAGTAGTGCTCTTACAGATATTATTTTATTGTGTTCCTCAGCTTTTTAGTCAGTTGTATTTGAACCACTTTGCTACTGCACAGAAACTAAGAGAGATTTTTATGAAAAATCTCTTAGTTCACACTGCAGTGGCAAGCAAGGACAATGACAATTTGTTCTAGCAAATGCTGTATGAAACACCATCCCATTGCCATATTATTATATACATCTCCCCATCTTTCACATACGTCTTTATCTTCGTCCTGACACATGCCACAGTTTTGATGTAAATATTTTACAGTCAGGACCCTTGAAAATTCTAGACCACAGCCCAATAAAATTGATTTACAGCAATACTCTATAAGCATTGCTTGGTGAAATTTTTAGATTTAGTTTTGTTTCTCCCATGGACAGCAAGTTTCATGAATTATCAAACTGAGGATGTATTTAAACTGTGAAACTTACTCAGATAAAGTTTAGTTAATAAATTTAGTCAAAATATTAAAAAATATTTTAATGCTTTTTTATGCATTCAAAACAAACAAAATACAAAATTTTAAAGCAAATAAATTCCCAAAACTCACTAATTTAAGTTGTTAAATTGACTACAATATCTGCATCAAAATTCTCCTTATTCACACTTTATTATTAATTATAAATGCAAGTCTACTGAGCTGTAATCAACATCTATAGGAAATATTTGTACTCAGTATCTGACAATACAAGATCAAATATAATATATCCCTAGCTTAGGGTCAAGTTTCACTACTTTAAGTTTTGTGTGCTTTTCAGTGTAGACTTCTAAAAAGTCTTTGAAGGTGATTTTTATTTTCTCATGGCTTTGTGATCTGCTTGTCTTCCCTAGAAAGGTTCAGCAAAATTATTTTGGAAATACTACCTTAAATTTTGCAAAGCTTTTAGCAGTTTTGTTGTAAGCGTGAATGACCATAAAACCTTTGAAAGACAACATACAGTTTACAGAATATCTTTCTGTAGATTTAGAATTTACCTGCTTTGTGGTTATGAAATGGAATGAGTCTTCATGATTTGCAAATGCCAGGAGGTTTCCACTTCCGGTGCACAGTCACACTTCTCCGTAATCAGACACAATAATAAATAGCATATTTTCATCACCCTGTCATGCATTCCACAAGGGAAGTGAAGCTTAATATTTCTATTTTAAAGAGAAAGAAACTAAAAATCAACAACAACAACAACAAAACAAAACAAAACAAAACAAAACAACACACAAAAAACCCAAAAAACAAAAAAACAAACAAACAAACAAAAGACAAACAAAAAAAACCAAACAAAAACAAACCCCAAAAAAACCCACCAAAACATCAGGGCAAGAGAGTTGCCCAGATCATCACCCTGGAGTGTGGATCCCAGGGTAACAGTCTGTATCTGAACGCTTCATGGTGAGGAGCCAAGGTGCTCCCCAGAACTCTTGGCTCCTCACTACATTCCTCCCACACCGAGGGATCTCAGTAATGTGTTATTCTCACAGGATGCTCAGAGCTTTGCAAAGACTTCCCTGAATTTACCTGCATGGCGCTAATAGACTCGAGTTCTTAGAGTGCAGCACTGCTGTAGCCTCAGTTTATCTTCAGACAACACAGAAAGCATATGTGTAAGTTAATAATTTTCAAAAGCAGTTTTTGGCTATTGCTTTTTTTTAAATAGGTCATGTTCAGGATGCAGTCAAAGAAAATTTATTAGACCTAAAGGCAAAGTACCTCATCAATTCAATGCAGACACGTCTCTGGCAAACTATCACACTCAGATTAGAGCTCCCAGCAAGAGAGATTCATTCTACCTGTCTCTGTGCTCAGTGCATGCACACGCCACCTGATGCAGACCTCACTGCACAGCACTACAAATCAAAGAAGACAGTGGGTGTTCTAGGACAGGAAGGGTTGTTTTGAGGGAACACCTCTTCCTGACTGAAGGGAGGTGAGCAATCAGGACTCTGTCTAGAAGAACAATTTTGTTCATTCAAATAAATGCACCCTCCAGGCTAATGTAACTTCTGCCAGGAACTGATTCATCCATCAGCAGGCTTTTGAATCTGAGTAATGAAATTGCAATGAAAAGAGAGAAGCCTCAGTGTTTTTCAAAAAAAAAGGGAGGGCTTTTTTCCAGGTTTTTCTTTCTCCCATTCTCTTTCTGCAAAAGAGCAATTTGCCATGGAACAGCTATCAAACCTCTTAATAGTATTAGACAGATGCCTCCAGACAGGACGTTTTTTTTTTCTTCTTTTAATCATAAAGCATACATTTTTAAAATTAAATACATTCTTCAAATAAGCATTGTGTGGCAGGTAAAAGGTGAAAAAAAGGAGATACCCTGTTCCAAAATTTGATAGTACTGAAAACAATTTAGAAAATTTCAATAATTTTACTTCAAAATAATTTATTTTTAATAAATAAATATTATAAATATATACATATAAATAATCTAAATTATTTATTTCAATTATTTAGAATTTATTTTATAATACATGTATAATTTATTATAAACTTATTTATAATTTTAATCATTTATAGGGTTGCACCCTATTTTTATGGGTGTAACCATGCACCCATAAAATTAAAATCTGCAAATCTTACAAAAAATATTTGTGGAGTCAGACCATTGTTGACTACTATGAAGAAAACATGTAAAAAAAAGATATGCTTTGTCCAAAATAAGTGATTACACATTATGAAATAAAGAAAGGTATGCTGTTCACACCTAGAAGAGGACCAAAGGATGGATAACTATATTTAAAATCTCTGTTCTGTATAAAAAAATGTTGTGTTAACCCTGATGGAAAAGTGTTGCTATCCTAAATGCCAAGAAAAGAGGAACAACATAATAAAACCTGTAAAGAGAATATAATACGGAGGCATTTCATCACCATGAGGGCAATGATTCATTTGAAACTCAAATTAATTTTTGACTAATGCTTTGCTTTTAGTGCTGTAAACTACATTGCTTAAAACAGCAGTCATATTTTGTATTTTGATGGAATCTTGTCACCTGACTTCAACTGTGGCATGTGGAGCAAATTGGGAAGTGCTATGTGCACACTGAGACTGTGAGGTCTGAGAGAAGAGCCTATAATTTCTAATAGCTATTGTGATGGGATTCTTTCTCATTATAAGGACATTTTAAGTCACACCAATCATTCAGGCACTTCAAAATGATTATTGAAAATTGGTAATTATTATATTTACATTACTTGTAAGGGAAATCAAACCTGAAGAAGTCTCTTTCTAAAGTTTTCAGTCATTTGATTTTGCCTAAAGAGATTCAGCTAAGAGCACATTCACAGAAGGATGTGTCCAGGCACACTCGGCACACAAACATTCCAGAGAATGATTTAATTCCACCGGTCAAGTATGTGGAAGTAACTTCTCTGTATATATCTCATTTTCACAGCCCTACCACAATCTGTCTTGGGCAAGTCTCAACTGGTACATAAGCAAATATCAAGTATCAATGTGAAGATAAGCTGCCAGTTACAGCCTTTCCTAAACACCTTTTAGATTTCTCTCACATTTCAAAAGCAGCAATGGCTGAGCAGCCCTCTCCATGGACTTTATCAGTTCTCCATGCAATGCTTCAATGGCCACCTGTCCAAGTTTAATAGATTTCAGAAGCACAGCATAAAAACTGCAGGCAGTGTCATAAAGCTTGCAAAACAGGAAAGTTACTTAGGTCATCTATGCACTGGGCAGATGTAATGACTCACAAATCTTCATTGCTTTGTTTACCAGGAAAGTGGATACCTCGGGGAGCTTAAGCCTGGCACACAGAGCTTTAGGAAGTAATGACCCACTGCACAACACAAGAAGGCTGCTGTTGCTTCTGAAAACAAATCTTAACATATACAAACATGCAATTTCAGTGTCCCAGTGTCTAGGACACTCTGATACTTTAAAAAGAGAGACAGAGAACCTTCATTCATTCGCGAAGCTCTAGGAAAGCAAATTGCAACAGAAGTTTCTCTGTAAAGTGACTAACAAAAAGAGTGTCTGGCATTACCTGGGCATAAGTGTGTAGGATTTATTAATTGTTATGAACTACTGTCATCAATGACCCATAATATTTAGGTCACCCAGACAGTCCTAGCACTCTCAGAGTAATGGTGCTACCTTTCTTCTATTCATATTTTATAGCTAGGGTTAGGCTCTAAACATGTGAAAATCTGATACTAAAATACTAGTCCATAACTTGTTGTCCATAAGTTGTTCAAAATAATTTCTTCCTTAGGAAACATTTATTGAACAATATTTACTCTATTTGTACAGTTTCTGAATTTACAGAAATGCTTTTTGAGTTCTTGACAGAACAAGTTATAACCCTGTATTTGAATTCTCAAAAGGAAAATTGTTTGGTGGAATCTTCCTGCTCTCCTACTTTATTCCATCAGAAAAATAATTCTAACAAAACTTTAAAAACATCTTTATTCTTGACTTTTCATTTACAGTTGCTTCTCTCTTCCTTTATTTAAGGAACAAAAAGCAAGGGAATATATTTCATTATAATGCTGTACTATTGCAAAACAGAGTTATAATGCTTTACTACAAATTTACATCCTATTACTATTTTCATAAAAGTTTGGGTTTTTTTTTCTAACAGACTTAATTGTAAAAAATTACTTTTCCATGTATTGTCAAATGCTAATCAGAGAGGAGAGCATTTAAACTACATTTTTTGTCTTGGAAGGGAACTAATTGAATGGTACTTAAAATCCTAATAATGAACTGTCATTTTAATGTAAATTAATGGCAACAATACACATGTGAAGCTAATATTTAAAATGCATATCTAATAATACTCTAAAGTTTCTATGCCCCAGTTAAAATAAAACAGAACTATGCGTTCCTCTTGCAGAGAAGGAAATAAACTTTTGACAACAGCTCCAGAATATTTCATATTAAATATTTACTCTTACTTACCTATATATGCCTTAAAACTTCTGAGTAAACTATAGATTTATTTAGTGCAAAATATAAAATACCATTCAACATCTCAGGCAAGAACTGATTCCTGCAGGCTTATCCTTTTTGATAAGTCTCTGATTTTGTCTCCTGACACTTCAGGTAGAATCATGGACCTATATTTCATAAAGCTCTCTATGGATTTCAATGAATCTAAATGTATTAATTCCCAATCTGTTAATTCCCTCTTAGAAAAAAAACACCAAAACTATTCTATGGCATTCCTATGACTATGGATTCCATGACTGTGGATCTCAACCCATCAGTGATCTCATCTTTGACAGGAATCATGTCCCAGCCATGGCAGGCTGCCTGACTGCTGTGAAATTATGCAGATGTGTAGTGCTGACTTCCCAGTCTTAGCCAAAGCAGCTCTGAAGGAGTACAAGGTAAAGCACCACAAGTGAAAGTGATGGTGAGACACTTTGTTTAGAACAGCAAAAGAAAGACTCATGGAGCGTGGATAAAAACTAGACTAACTAATACTATTTCAGCCGAAATAATAGAAGTAAGAGCTATGAATTCACCACGCTATTTTTTGGCAGAGGCAATGCATGGTGCTGGAGGTTTTAGTCCGTTTTTCTTAGGAAGTAAGGAAGGGAAATATATCCTACTATTATTTGCAATCAGAGGTGTGACTTTTTGTGCCTAACACCTTGAATTGTGTTTTTAAGATAAGAAAGGAATAAGTTTCTGGCCTACAATCAAGTAATTGTAAGTGCCTGTATCAGACAGGGTAATTTTATAAACTGTTTTACATGGACACATTTATCTTTTTTGATCTTAAAATACCAGCACTATAGGACAAAGGGACTCGTCCTCCTTCCTCCTGTGGCAGTTGAAGGACACCTGGTAGTAATCTGTACAGAAGTTAAATATTTTACAAATACCTTTTCCCTGTCTCTGGTTAGCTAAGGAACAGTGTTGCATTTTTCTTAGCATGGCTATGAAGAGATATAAGATGTTCATGGTTTTTGGATATTATGCACCAATTTATCAGAGACTATAAATGAAAATATTAATCTGAGTGTAATGGATGTCACAGAAATTATGTACCCATTTAGACAAGTAGTGGAATCAGACTTATAGCATCAGGAGAATGATATTTTCAAATTCACATTTTACATTTTTACCATGGACTACTGACATGGTAACTGCATTTTACCATGGATCACTGAAAGAAGGTTCCTCTTCCAAACATATCCAAACATATCTAGGTCAAATATCATGACCTACACATACTCACAGGAAGGTTAACTAGTAAAGCAGTTTACTGAATGGCTCAAGTGTTTCTTTCCAGTGCAGGATGGAAACAACAGTAAGTACAGATAGGGATGAGGGTGAGTGAAGGATTCAGAAAGACCAAGGGACACTACAGCCCACCTCAGGCTCTAACAGAAAGAGTGCAATACTGGTGATGGGGATCATGTGATGTGATGACATGTGATAATTAGCTAAGGACTTATTTCCCAGCCCACCATTCCACAACCCACGTTAAACAGCACTGCAATTACATCTACTCCTGATCATATTCCCCAATAGCTTGTATAAGGAATGAAAAATGCCATAGCATTTGAAGAGGTCTACACGTGCTTCTATTAGAGATTTCTAAATTGTTTCCTTTCCCTTCCTATAAGCAGCTGGTTACCATGCATAATGAGGCACTATCATTTCTAGTCATACATTCTCTTTCTTCCATATCCTGTAGCTATGAAATGAAAATGGAAGGAAATTCACAATCTTAGGACAGAAAGGTGTTTTTTTGTTTTGTTTTGTTTTGGGTTGGGGCTCTTTTGGGTTTTTTTTCCCATTGTCCAGTAATTAGAGAGATACTGCAACAGTGTTTTTCAAGTTATTTGTCTCTAGTTGCTCATTAGAAAACTGTGTCTTTGTTGCCCAAGACAAAATATCCTGGATATTTGCTTCCAGGAAGCAAACAAGAAGCTCAAAGAGAGGGATATATAGCTTGGGATGGTAGTCTTACACTCTGCAGAGAGGAAATGCAGAAAACTGCCCAGCAGAAATGGAGCTGGGGGTGCTGGTGACAGCAGCTGAACATGAGCCAGGGTGTGCCCAGGTGGCCAAGGGGGCCAATGGCATCCTGGCCTGGATCAGCATTCTTCCTGATGTTCTGCCTGAGCCATCCCTGGAATGATTTGAAGCTTTGTGCTCTTGTCCTGTCTTTTTCAGTCCAAAAATCACAGACAAAAACAGGAAGCAGCTTTCCAAAACTCAGCTGACAGGCCAAAGTAAAAATGTTTGTAAACAAACTCTGTCCATTTTTATGTATAGTAGCTAAGCATCTTGAATCCTCTTCCTAAACTGTTGCAACAAAGAATGAATACTGACGCAACTTCAGCAGATCGGGCTGTGAGATAAGAGTGCTCTTGGAGCAGCTGACCTTCTCAGAGAGCCACTCAGACAGCAGATGAGGAGTTATGTAGCCCATTTGCATCTCCAGGGTTAATGTGATTTTCATACACCAGCCTGTATTAGAGAACGATGCAAAACAATGATGTGTCTTAGCATCTGTAATTCGAGCCTGATTCATATAAACTACCCTTTTACAGCAATCTCTCTTGGTTTTGTAGAGGGCAGTGCCATAAAATTGAATAAATTTGGGTTGGGTTTTTTGCTCAGTCACACACGCACACGCACACACACACACACAGAGAGAGAGAGAGAGAGAGAGAGACATATATAAATTTTAGCCTTTGCACAATATTTAAAGAATAAAAACAATAATGAAATGCTTAGCTGTACCTTTTTATATTGACACAGTCTTCCTGTTCCTGTGACTAGTTTCCTCTAAGGAAAATGTGACGTGTTGGATGATTTCCCATTTCTGTTCAGACAGGAAGTATACAGACCAACTGGCATTTGGATTTTCTGCTAGTCTTTAGTCACTAAAGAACACCTGCAGCCTAACTGTTAGCTTGTTCTGGTACTCAAGATCTCTATCAAAACACATTGTTCAACAAAGGAAAAAGCTGACGTTACACCACCTGGGAATACAGGGAAGATCCTAATTTTTATGTGGCAGTACAAAAGAGTCACAGAGAGCAGAAGAGAATCACAGAAACATAGAATCATTTGAGATGATGTTGATATGATCAAATTGCAAACAAATTTAGGAGAAAAAAAAACCCTAGGAATTCCCAGAACACCTCCACAAATGATTCCACACACAGAGGATGAAATATTCTCTGCTCAAGCACTCTGGCAGCTGTAGGATTAGGTGATACCAATAATATAAAAGAGCACATGTTGATATTACACATTTCAAAGCAGTTGACCACATTCCAAAGCAGGAATCTGTCTGGAACACACATTCACTTTACTTCAACAGAATTTAATACTTGTTGAGGTCTTGCTTTTTTCTCATGCCTTGTCAATATCACAGCATCCAAAGTCAGCCACTGGTAGGTTTTCTGTCATACTTTGCAATCTACACACAGAAAAATTCCTGGAGTTTTTGGTCTTGACCTTCATATCCCATGCTAGGAATTCATTACATCACTGGGGATTTTATGACATGGAATCTAAATCAAATTATAATGCAATGCAGCACATTATTGTAGAATATCACCCCTGAATGAAAACTTTCAGAAAATCAAATTTAGCAGTAGGATGACACTAAAACTAGAACAAGCAAAAGGTAATAAGCGACTCCAATACTTCAAAATATTTTTTTGAACTTCATAAAGTTTAGGGTACATTATAACCATGGGCATTTCTGTTAAGAGCAAAACAGTTGCTTGTTGTTTGTTACAAGTTTGTTTTCCTTTCTTATCTTACCACATTGTAATGCTGATATGCTGTACAAATACCATTATTCTACTACTCTTCTACACCTGTATTAAACTACACATTGCTTCTTTTTAGGCTCTGTGCTGAAGACATCTTGCTCCCCTCAAATCTGGGAAGAAAGTAATAGATAAATCCCATTAGAGGGAGGTGAAAGAATTTCATCAGAAGGAGTAATGTAGGCTTGTCTGTTCAGAAAGATACATGAGATAAAAACAGCACTTTCCAAGGAAACTGGTGAGATTTTCACTAATAGACAACACAGAAAGAGTGGCAAAAAATGTCAGGGTGATGTAATTTCCATGGGTTTCTTCTCACCTGTCAGCATGCATGCAGAGGCTGACTAGAGAAAAAATCTGACTGTGGATGGGGGAAACTGCAATTCAGCCCAAGGCCTTGCCTTTCAGAGGAAGATTTCCTAGTAAATTTGAAGTATTTCATAAAACTGACATGTCTGAAAATAACTGAGCAAATTTAAATTGGTAAGGTTTGTTCTTATTCCTCCATCTCTGCCATTGTTTTATTACATTACTCTTAGCCACTCTGTAATCTCATTGTGCCTGAAGCTCCCTTCTCTGAAATGGATAGAATGTTGGCCTTCTCTGAATGTGTTTCTTCACAGGTAACTCTTTTCAGAACAGCTTGTAATTGAAAGAACTAGTTATTTTTCTAGAGACAAGCCCTCCACAAGCCTTGTTTCTGTCTCTCCAGTAACTATAGAGGGAGTCTTAATAGCTAGTTTAATGCAGATACCTAAAGCAGAGGAAAATTAGTCTCATTTCTCAGGAACTGAAATTAAGACTTTTTCCTTAAAGACTGCATTCCTATGCAATATCTGTGTGTGAGTGATTCTTCCATACAGGTATCCTTATTGTATTAATAACCATGTATTTAGAGGTAAAACGTCCTCTTTAATTTTCAATCCTGATAGTAGTGAAGGATTAAAAAAAAAAACAAAAAACAAACTCACACTGATGTATTTGTTTCAGCCCTGACCTGAGCAGAATTAATTTGCTTATACTCATTGTTGTGATCTCATTTGATTTACGTGCCTGCTTGTCACAATTGTGCTTTCTCAGAAGTAGTTCCTCTGCCGGCCATCACAACTCTGTTGCATTTCATGCCACTTCTTTCCAGGAGTCCAGGGTACTGCAAGGGGACACTATGCATTTTCATATTCCCAGTGGCAAGAATTGAACACACTCTTCTGGACACATAATTACAAAAAGATGCAAAATGTAGTTCAAAACATGGGTTTGATCCTGAACTCCTTATTTGAGTATTGCTACCAGTGAAGTCAGTAGAAATTTTGTTTCAATAAAAATGTAGATCCAGATTTCTAGACTGAAAATCTGTATTTAGAAGTATCAGGATTATATAAATATAAATACATGTAAAAATATACACATTCATGCATGGATTTTGTTGAGTAGAGGGAGATTGTCAGAGTTAGGAGTTGGAATTAATCATGCAACTCCCACCAACTCAGTACAAAAGCCCCTCCACCATCACCTACTTCTTTCTCTGACTTGGATCTGTGACAAAGGGGATATTTCATTGATGTCAGCTGTTGTTTTACATTTTCCTTTAGCTGGCAGGTTAAAGCAAAAGAAAAAAGAAAGCAAAGCCTCAAGGGAGCATTGAGAAGTGGGGAGTGTGGGCAAACAGACAGAAAGCAGCATCCTGACAGCATCTCACAAGGGAAGAAAAAGCAAGTCTGCCAGCTGTTCCATGGAAATCTGTAGTCTCTAATGTTCCTTTTATACACTTACTTAGTTCAAATGATACCCCACTTCCACTGAATGCAATATTTAATTTTTTATTTTAATATATTTATAAAGTCATAGCCATTGTCTTTTTTGTACACAGATGCAGTTATTTGCCCATTTCATAAAATGTAGCAGACTATTTACCCTGTAAAAAGCAATTTTCCCAAAATTTCTTAAGTTTCAGAAGACTGATTTTTAATCCATAATATCATTTAATTCAGTTCAGCAATTTGTTTAGTCTACAATAACATACAAAGTTGTAGAGACAACATTGTTAAAATATGTGACCTGTTTACTCAAACTTTCCTACAATACATACAGAACCAGGCATGACTTGTTCAAAGTTTTGTGACTTTGCAGTCCTGTTGACTCTGACAGAGCAGAGGGCAAATGGCATTCAAGTCACAATTTTTTACATGAAGAGTAAGACCTTTGCACCATTGCAGTTATCTATGTATCTATCTAAATCTGTACAGTGCATCTAAAATTTGAATTGTCCCAGGTTAAGTACATAAACCAAGAGAGGAACAATACTACATAAGCAGCCTTTACTTACCTAATTTCAGATCCCACATTCTGGTGTGTGACTGTTTTTAGAGCATTTTTAAAAAATATTCCTGAAATTAAATATTATTCCAGTACTGTTTTCTTTTTTCCTTTAGCCTTTTTCCTCTAGAAGGTAAAGCATTTCTTGTCTGTTTCCTCCCTGCTCCCAAAAAATAAAAACCAAATTATTATTAACCATTAAAAAATGGTTACCCAACATGAAAATTTCTTCAAAGGAATTGTGAAATTAATAAATGCAAATAAAGCACACCACCTACAATTGAGAAATAAGCCAATTGATATAGATTCCAGGTAAATGCACTTGGTGCACTGTCTTGTTATGCCTGTCCACTCCTTGCTAATAAATAAGCCTTACATACCCCCATATGAAATTTTGAGATAATTTATTTGTGTATTTGTATCGTAAAATATTGCAAATATTACCTCTTCAAAAAAGATTGTTGACATTCTTCTGACATGCTTAAGAAGTTTTTCTTAATATTTTTCCTAAACTAAATACATTGCTCAAGCAAAGACAGAACACTTAATGTGTTTTTGAACTGTCATTTGGTTTGTATTTATGATCATGAGGATTTGTCAGTTCTAATTCTTTGCATTAAATCTAATAGTATTTATCCCTTGGACTGGCTTGATCCTAGTTTACCAAGCCTCTGCCATTTTGCTTCAGTAAACTCCAGTGCAGTCAACCTGGTTAGCTGGAATACAGGGGTTTAATTTCTGTGCTGTTACATAAATTCTAAGTATGTGAAAAAAAAGAACCAAATATTTTAAATGATCCACCATTCCAATTACTAATTTTTACCATTAGTTGAATTTTGAAAGGAATAAAATAAGAGTCGTTATGATGCTTGGCTAAAATGTTCTGCATCCTTTGAGTAACTTTTCAGTAACAGAGTTTTAATTGCACACCACAGAAATGTGTATCATATTTTTCAATACCTGTCATCCCATAGCCAATGCTCAGTGCTTTTTCATTTGCAGACAACTGTGAGTAGGAAATTACAATGCTCTATGTAACAGCTTTATGATTGCAAAAAACCTGGTGCAACTAAACACACTCATTTCTGGAAAACAGCAGTCCCATAACTGCATTGTCAATGTCTTCATCTTCACACAATACTGTTATATAGGATAAATATAAATAAGCCATAACACTTTTGAAATACTATTTCACTTGCATAAGTAATGTGATTTCTATTTTGCACACTGTTCTACCAGATTTCACTAATTTATTGCAGTGCAATGCACTATGCTGCAATAAGGATGGAGATCCTTGTTAAAGGCAGCAAAAGAAATTGAAGAATCTCTTATGAAATTTTCAAATACATTGTGGCAAGACAATATACAATGAAATATTTGGGAGGTTTTGAGTTGCTTTTTTTTTTTTCCAGGAAATGAAATACCCCTTAACTTTAAAAAAAATAAATATAGAAGATATTTTTTGCCAAAGTATCCAGATCACTTAATGTCATGAGGTGGTGTCAGATGAAAAAAAAATAAAAGAAACTGCTCAGTGGAGCCATTATCGGAAATATTCCAGTTTAAGAGGAAAGAACAATGAGAATGATATACATAGACACTGAAAGTCTTCTAAATTCCTGAACTAAGAACTGCATCACTTGGAAGTTTAGACATATATTATTCCCCCACAGCACCCAACTTTTATGAGAATTCCAGAAGCCACACTTAAACTTTTCCATCTCTTATGTTCCAGACTTCTTTTTAACAGTGTGAAAGTAATAGAATTTTCTACCCTCATATAGAAAAGAACCTAAGCAAAATAGATGTCTGCATATGAAGGCCTGGAGGCAATCTACTACTTAAATTCCACTAATTTTATCTGCTGTATCTTGAGTGCTACCTTCCGCAGCAGGTAATAAATGCATGCATCTGTACATACAAAAATACAATCTTGTGCTGGATTCTGTATGCTGTGGCTTACTGGAAGATATTACATTTCTTAAAAGCTGAAGCAGCACAGTAAAAGCAGTTCTGCCCAACCAAAAGACTGCAAATATTCAAAAGACTGTGTGCATCAAGGCAAAAGTCTCTGAAACAGATTTTGGAGTAATTCCACTGTTACTTAATAAATTAAGATTTTTATGCACATACAACATTTATGAAACTCTCTGCTCCTTCTCTTGCTGCAGACCCTACTCCACACCAAAAGGCACAATGAGAGGGAGGAGGTGCTGTGTTCTTTCCAGGCTGGGGGCATGTAGTGTACTGTTGATTTTCCCTTCATGTCAACAAAACCTTTGCCAAGAATGTACACCAGTCACATTGTCCCGGTGCAGGGCCAAGCCCCCCTGCCACATCTGCCCCATGGGGATGTTGACTGTTTACTCAGGGCTGGTGTAGTCTTACTGTTTTCGCTCAATGTAATGCATTTTGACCAAAAAAACCCCAACAGATTGAACTCAATACTTGCAAAAAAGGTTTTATCTGCAGCATCTGACTTCCAGGCTCTGGATAAGAGAGGGGAAAAAGTCTATGTATCTCAAAGTAGGATAACAAACAGTAAACCAGCAGAAATGCTTTGGTTATCTTTAGGAGATGGAGAGGTAAATCATGCATCATTATCACTGAGAATTTGCTGAAGGGAACAAAAATATCTGCCCTGGTGTACAACCTGCCTGCTAACTTGGATATTTTGCTTTTCCTCACTGAGTGTTCTGCTTATGCAATCCCTCCAAGTTTCCTCTACGTCACTCTTGCAGTCTGTTTCCTGGTCACTTTGGCCTCTGCAGGAAGCTGGCAAACCCTCTTCATGTGGATGCTTATGTGTCATAATAAATCGTCCCCTCCCATCCATCCACCCACCCACCCATTTTATAAATGTGCAGGATTTCCTCCACAGGGAAAAGACAGTAAATAAATTGCATGTGGCAGCAATCTCCACATTTCTGTGACTTAGGCACTTTTCCCTACCTGCTCACACATATTTCTGTTTTTGAAGTAAAAACACAGCTTACAAAAGTCATCATTCTATTACCCTTGAACAAATATCATCTTTCCCAGTCATTCTCCATTGACCATGTGGGGGTTGATCCTACAAATACAACAAGTGTGTTTCAAGTGAATATATTCTCTCTTTACGTCTGATTTCTAATAAATATCCCAGACTATGGACTGTGAAGAGGCAAACACAGACCAATTGCCCTTCCCTCATATTTCTCCCCAGGTTCCATAGTCTGCAACTGAAGCAGATTAAATTAATGCATTGATTTCAGAGGATTTTTAGCTTTATAAATGTGTGAAAATTTCAAGATTTATGCTTATGCAGAAGAAAGGTTGCCTAACATGGATTTAATTTGACTATTTTTAGTAATCTACATTTTGGTTAGTTGTTTTACTAATGGGTATTGATAAATCAATGAAGAAATCAAGGATTTTAGCACTTTAGTACTAGAATCATAAATTAGATTCTAGTAAATCAAAAATCGTAAATTAGCGATAATATATTATTAGAAGTATAAACTTGTCTCCACTAGCTATAAAAGCTACTGGAGGTCTCTACAGTGCAGGCAAGGAAGGCTTGCATCTCATGACTTACATGTAAATGGTTAAACAAATACTAAACAGAAAGCTAAACAAAGAGACAGGATACAGCAATGCAGAGCATATGACTCTTGATTTAATGCTTTGATTTGAGAGCAACCACTGAAATGATTCATTAATAGCAATGCAGCACTTGACCCACTGCCAAGGAAGAGTGGGTGGTCTCTGTCACTGAAAAAGTCTTTTGAAAAAGTTCACTCAGTCACCAAGAAGTTGAGCAAAACCCACACAGACAATGCAGTACTGGTTTATTTTAGGCAGACCTTGCAGATTTGCTGCCACTACTAAGAAGGGTCACAAACAGGCCATTCTTTGGGCTGTGTTCCAATTACTGGAATTTCTGCATACGTCTACATACTGTAAGTTATATTCATGCAACTATGACTTTTACAATTTTGCAAAATCTGCCTTTGTTTTTTTTTTGCATTTCATATGCTTATAAATAAATTCTTGTGGCTCCTATGTCTAAATTCAGTAACACAGGAAATTAATTTATAATCTGAAACTGTACTTGCTACTTCATGTTCTGCACTGGAAAAATGGAAATAAAGAAAAAGATTCCAGGCCCAGATATCAAATTATTTGACTACCCTCCAAAGTGATTCTGAAGAGTGAATATATAAGCTGCGTCTAAAAACAATATTCGAAAATTAAAACTTTCAAAGGTGGATCTTTATAAAGTTTTTTGACTGTATTTTTTCAAACATTGAGAAAAATAATTTATTATTTAATCATTAACTATTTGATTATTCAGGAACAAACTCCTTAATAAAATGTTCTAGACTGAAAATACAAGATGCTAATAGAAAAACAGGCAGGAGAATCATTACTCTATAAACAATATTTATAAAGTATTGAATACATTCTGCTTTAAATTGCTTTGTTCCCTGGATTAGAATTGGAAGTAGAAGGATATGTGATGAAGGGAATGTCCTGGAATAAAAGGTGAATGGGAAAGGGGAAAAAATTAGAGATGGACAGAGTCAAAAACATTCAACCATTAATCAATCACTAAACTAAATCAGTCCTGTCACCAGCAAAGAGGAGCTGTTGGGACACCAAACAACTGTTTTAAGCATGGTGATATAATTTGCTGAAAATAACTGTTTCAGATACAAATTTCAAGCCAAAAAAAGAGTGCAAAAAATACGTTGTATGTATTGAGCAGTGCTACCCTGCAACAGTCCTGTTGAATCTGATTAGACAGTCTCCTTGCAGAAGAGAGGAGAACAGGTGGGAATTTTACATTCCAGAAAACACACAATAGTGAGCTCCGGAATTGAGCTGCAAATATTACTCTCACAGACTTCTTAGTAACTGAGCATTGCCTTACATTAGCCTAAATTTGCTAGCTCAAGGGTATACATCAGTCTGGGATTTCCAACATAGAGCTGTCTAGTGAATAAATAGTCATGGAGAGTCTCATGGGAGAAAAGCACATCTTCAGTTCTTAAAATGTCCAGCCTCCTGCCAAGACTCTCTTATGGTCTTGGTTATTTCAGTGAGTAGAAAAGATCCTGGTGGGACACACATAGAAGAAGCACATCTCACAGAGGACTGGTTTTAAGACCCCAGAAGATGGTGTTATAAAGGGTAAGACAGTGATTTGACCATTTGGAAAAGTTGTGCTGGTAGTCACTTTCAGGGAAGAATACTAAGGCCATAGGATAACCTTGAAAGAAATTATCCACCAGAAGGAGAGGAAAAACCAAGACAGGTATAGCTAAAAACAGGGAAAATGAGAAAATGTCTTGCTTCTCGTACAATTTGACACCATCCTGGAAGTGAATTTAATTTGCCCAAAGGTCTTCAGACCTTTCCCTTTCCAAACAGTCATAGATTTAACAGTATTTTTTATTGCTTTTTTTATTATTTTTGGTGGTGTGGTTTAGAGTTAAAAAAAAAAAAAATTCAGTTAAATTTTTTAGCATTTTATAATCCCAGACTCTTAGGATAACAATATTGCTTTAAAAAGAAACAGTAAACTCTTTTCAGACTGAGGCCTTTCTTTCTGCTTCAATATACCAGATCTCATAGTTATAGAGCTTTTTAGTGTGCTGCAAGACTTTTCTCCCCAATACCCATCATATACCCAGAACAGTTTGAACCATAATAATTTCATATTTTTGTTCTACTATATTATTTTTCAATCCCATTTTCACAAAGTCAACGTTCTTTAATTTCTGTATAATCCGACCTAGCATTACTTAAATCCAACCTTTCTCAGAGCTTCATATGAAACTCATTAGACTGTTCTAAACTATTGGAATCCCAGAACAGCATTATCAAATTTATTGGTATTTCTCTAGACTTGCTGTAGTCCATGAGGAGTGTCTAATATAGCATGAAATATCTGAACGTTGCTGCTCATCTTGTCTAACATATTTATGCATTACTACTGTCTCTTAGCTTTGGGGCATTGTAAGTTTTTCTAAATTATTGTCACTGTAGGTCTTAAATAAGGGGGGCAGTAGTGCTTTGTTGACAGGAGTAAAGGACAACAAAAGGAAGAAGGAAACCTTGACAGCATGATGCTGAAGAGAATTATGGGAGGAAGTTTGTGCCAAGAATAACATGCTGGTTAGGAGGCCAAGGGCATTGGTGGAGTCTGTGGGATATCTGAAAGATAGGCTCCATACACAAACACAGCTGTACCATCAACAACAGGAATTTTGGTTTTCTGGGAGGAAGGCTCTCCATTTTGCTTCCACCACTTTGATTACAATGCCAACTAATGCTCAACATTTTGTCTCTGAAGAGCTCTCAAAGATGGAAACACATCTTAAACCAAAGAATAGTAACATGGTTGCTAGGATGATATTTTCTTGGAATTATGTGTCCAAGTCCTGTTTTCCATGGTGCAGCATATCCATGTGCTATACACTTGGCACAAAACTATTTCTTTACAGAGTTTTGTTTGTTTGCTTGTTGTCTGTTTATTTCTTTAAACAAGATCAATGTATGGAAAAGAAATCAAAATAAATGTAAATCTTTCCTGAGATAGGTGCAAATTTTCAGACTTTTTAGTTGGTTTTAGATGGGAACATCTGCCTTGGACTCATTTTAATCTTATTAAGGTTGTCACCCTTCCAGAAGGAATTCCTGTTTCCCTTCCTTTCACACACATATGCGCTGCTTATCAGGGCATCTAGAGGAACACACAGATCTGTGAGATTAAGGAAAAAAAAAGATGGTCTGTCACTCATCATATCCCTCAGATTCAACAGAGAGGAAATTTATTTTAGTGAGCATTGAAACCAAACAATAGCAAGCCTGCAGCTGTTTCAGGGGTCTGATGTCAACAGTGCTAAACACATTTTTATCTCATTTGAGATTTATTGAAAAACCAGACTGCTTGATAAACAGTGGCTGACAAAAACTAAAACAGATTAGCTCAGCAAGTAAAATGAGATAAGAAGAGAATTGTGCCACATATACTTTAGGACCTATCAAATAAATACATTTATTATAAAATATTAGCTAAAAAATAGCTTTTGTTAAGATTTATCCACAGAGCTACATTTCGTAGTCTGTGTATAAAAATTATAAATTTACCTTTGAGGAAAATGTCATTTTTTGAGATTTGTTGCATTTGAACATGTTAGAATTTAGAGTAGTTTCATCAATGTTTATTCATCTCCTTGGCTATCAATCTCTTCCTCTGAGAGTGACAATGTTCAAAAAAGAAAAAAACTACTGCTATTCTTTGAAGCTATCAGAGATGACATAGCAAAGGATTAGTTATAAAATCTTTTTGCTTGCTTTGTAAGAGGCAGTATGATCCAATGGCTTTTTCTATTCTCTACATGGGATCTTCCTGTTTTCTTTAGCTCCCACACTACTCTTTTTAATCTTCTATAAAAAATCCAGATGGCGAAGACTTAGGACAGCCCATGCCTGGTGACTAATGCCTAATTCAGAGGATGTTACATTGCCTGAAGAATAGGCAACGAGTAAACAATCAAAAGATTGTTTACACTGTCTGCCAAAAAAAAAAAAAAAAAAAGAGAGAAACTTCTGAAAATTACTTTCACAGCATCCAAATCCCACCCTCCCATTCACAACATTCTCTAGCCCTCTGAGGATCTTTCAATGCTCTCCAGTATTCCTTAGGAGCAAAATGCTTAAAGGCTAGAAAATGCATCCAAACACTCCCCCCTGCCCCCTCCAAAATATCTAATGCTCATAACATAAAGGAATTTTCATGAAAATTGCAGTATTGGACAGCTTATTTAAATGTGATAATGGTCAGCCACTGGTCAAACTCAGCCCAGACACCAGGCAGTGAGTGGAGCACTGCAGGAGCCCTTAGACATGGAGATGAATGAGTCTGCTGTGTCATCTCCAGTCAAGAGACCAGGAATCAAGGAAGAAATGCATTATCTACATGAAAGATTGTCAGGGATTAAAGATTGGCGAATTGTGTGAGCTAAATCTTCCCACGGAAGGGAGAAAAACGGGGAGGGAGGAGAAACTTGCTTCCTCTAAAGGATCAAAGCAGAAAAGCAAATCCAAACTCATGAACAAAATGCAGCGTATCATCTTAGGATAAGTCTGTGTTAATAAATTAAATTGCACCAAAGAACATTTCTGAGGACAGTGCACACTCTCAAAGGAGTTTGTGACATGGCTTTGGCTTTAATGAAATAGTCTCTGAAATGTGATCATCCAGACTGGCTGGTTTTGACATCTGTAGTGTATATGCCCAAAAGAACTGTCCATAAAAAGTTAACAAATATCTCATAAAGAAATATCTTAATATAGATGAACACTAGAGAAATAAGGATTACAGGTATTACACCTACCTGTAAATATGGTTGCAATCAAGGGATGTTTGCATATTTTTCAAAGTGAAAATATAATACCAGGATTTACAGATTAAGTCAGTTTGCAAATTTCTGCTCCATTAAATGTTTAACATAGGCAACAAGCAGCACTGTAAACTGACTAAAAGATTGATGCTGTGTTGGAAACAGTGGTGATTAGCACAAATGATAAAAAAAAAGAATAAAAGTTATAGCAATTAATATGCCATCTGATATATTCCCCTCTGGGAAATTAAGATTAAAATACTTACTACATGATTTTCAGAAATTATATAAATTTGCAATTAGCTTTTATCTGATACCCCCTTTAAGGTAGTATATACTTAAGCGTGTCTGGAGATTTTTTTCATATAATTGCTAGTCCCTGCCCAGGAGGAAGATATTGGCAGTCAGTCAGGACTTCTGCACCATAAGAACAGTATCCCCAACAGAAAACGGTGGCCATCCCATGAAAAAGTGACTTACTGGGAAAGCTCTGGTCTTGGTTTCTAAGTTTGGACCAGTAAAAATAGGTGAAGCATATCTGTTACCTGGAAGATCAAGGAAATAGAAGCAATGTTTTCCACCACTGACACAGCAAAGCCCTTTTTAACTGTTGCACAACTATATCCAAGCCCATGACAACAAGAACTACAATGATCCCAAAAGTAAATGAGTAACCAAACAGCTTTTGAAAGGAAGAGAAGCATGTTTATAGATTGATTGCATGCTCCAATTCCAGATAATGCTATCATACAGATAGCAAACATTCCCTAACTGCTACCTCATGAGGTCAGGTTTACTGCTGAGGACAGAGTGGGAGCCAGAGGATTCCCGGCATGACAGTGCATCGTAGCTTCACATCCAATAGTGCACACAAGGTAATGCCTCCCCTCGTTTTACCACTGCAGGACAGAAAAGGGTATGCTGTGTTCCCACAAATGGGATTTCGGAGAACAGAACAGGTCTGTGAGCACAGGTTGCCCCCATTTACCTCTGCACAGTGCTCACCCTGTTTACCTTTAAAAGCTCACTGTCGCAAAGGTTCAAATTCTTCAGTGCAACTGTAACTGCTTTGCAAAACAAAGCTGCCTTCATCTGGTTTATTGAGCCTAAAAATTTTCCTTATGTAATGCAAAACTCAGGTAATCCACAGACATTAAATAGTGCCTTTGCTATTTGAACATTTCACATTGTTGGTAGGGGAGCATCTGAAGCAAATGGGCCACAGTTAAACATCTCCTACTCTTAGAGATATTTGCTTCTTACAGTTTTCTTCAGGCAGCTCTAAAGAGTGGTATTATAGTGGACTTGCACCAGTTGGATAAAGGAGTGGAGGATGGGAAAGTGAATTGCTGCCACTATTTTACTAAAGCATGACTAAATTGTGGGGCTGAAGGGTTAAAATCTTGAGTGCCAAATCTGCACCAATATCATTCCAGCAGGCTTTCCACTTGGACCTACTTTAGGCAAACATATTTTCATTTCCAAATGTTTTTACTGGATTTGAGTAGCAACTGAAGAACAGTGCTGCTGAGTTAAAATATATAACAAAATGCCAAGCACCCTGCAGCTGATGTAGTTTTTTGCATTCATGTTTGATTGTGCTATTAATATTTTCTTTCATTCTTTTTCCAGCAGCTACCTATAGTTACACCTGATGACAGTTATTGTTTCCACTGTTTCTTTTCTAGTGCATTGTCCAAAAAGGCATTTTGCTTTGCTATATGTAATAAAACCATTAACAAAAGAGTACAGAAAGGATCTGCCCACCAAAACAACAACATGTCCCTGACAAAAGAGCAGAAGTGAAAACCTACCATCACAGGCTTCCAAAGATGACCATGGATCAGCAGATACATCATACACAGAAGATTAATATCTATATGTATCTATTTCTTATTCCAAAAGACAGGAAGTAAAAATTTGAGCCATTTTGAAAAACACATAATACACTCCATAAAGAGTTTTGTTGGTGCAGTATTTGTTGACAAGGATCTTATTCTATCCTGAGATTTAAATTCTTTATTGGAAGACAGCACTTATTTCACACTGAAAATGTGTTTTCTACCCTAATGACCTGCAGCTGAAGTCAAGGACTATTCAGGACTGGAATCTTCCTCTAGGATTCAAGAAGAAGAAAATTGAGGTCCTTCAGGTCTATAATGCTTTTATTATTGTTGTCCTTTCCCATCTTCTCCAACAGACAGGCAACATGTGGCAGCCATGAACTCCTCTGTAGTTCTAAATCTGTATTTGATGACTATGGGGGAGAATGTTAGTGTTGAGAAGACTAAAGCTTTTTTATTTAACTTCAAACTTGATCAGCTTTTCTTTGCAGTATCTGCAAAGCAATTTCTAGTACCAGAAAAAGAAAGATGCTTGTAGCCCTAGAAGCATCAAGAAAGCAGGAAGGGTGAAGGAGCACATGGGCACTACACTGCCATACTCCGTGCTCAGAATCCTCCAGGATTGATGGGTTCTTATGCAGCTCACAGAACAATGGCATTCTGTTCTTTGAGGCACTTGTGTATAAACAAGCCTGACCTTTTAATCCTTAAACTATTATTCAATCATTATACTGAAGGATATTTTCACCATCTTCTATTAAATATCTGACTGAAGTGCTTCAGCTGATACTCAGGGCTATTCATAGATAATACAAGGCATCACTGAATCACAGGAAGATCTGAGGTTTCATGTCTCTCCCTTTATGAGACATTCAGTCAGCTCAAAGTTTTCTGCCTAAACCCAAAATACCTAAGTGCCTTTAAATGAAATTTTATCACTTATACTACTGAAATCCAAGACATTAACATATTTTCAGTGGGGTCTCTTTAAGATAAAATAAGATTAATTTTATCTTCCCAAGAGAAACTCAGACAAAATAGAGTCCAGATTCAATCTAGTCCCTAAACAATTAAAAAATCCAAATCCTCCTACTGACACAAACCATGAAGAAAGAAAATAGTACTATTAAAAAACAAAAGTATTTGTGGTCTACTCTGCCTTTTCGTCTAATGCTTTTTGCAACATTGGAAAATTCAGTGTAATGTCATTTCATAGGTGTCAATATAATATTCAAATTCAAAGACTCAAAACATTTACAGTCCTCAGTCCCATATTTTCAGGTTTAAGTATAGTGTTTGTACTAAACAAACACTAGTCCTAGAACTTAGATAGTCTCCTTCAGGTCAGAACAGATGCCTGTGTCATTAAAGAAGTCTTTTAAGCTCAGCACTAGATTACTTCTTGGATCTACTGGGGAACTTGTCTTATAAGACTCCTTTAGACACCTGAATGTGCTTTTTATTAGATGATGCTATGTAAGCCCTCTTCATAAAACTTATCTTACAATCATGGACAGGTTTCTAAACATAGCTTGTGTATCCAAATATTTACATACAATTTTAGGAAGAAGCAATGCAAAGAACACCGAGAGAACAGAATAGAATAGAATAGAATAGAATAGAATAGAATAGAATAGAATAGAATAGAATAGAATAGAATAATGTCAGTCAGAAGGGACCTGCAAGGATCATCCAGTTCAAATTCATGACCACTTCAGGGCTGACCAAAACCTATAGCATATTATTAGGCACATTGTCCAAATACCTCTTAAACATTGACAAGCTGGGGGCATTGACCACCTTTCTAGGAAGCCTGTTCCAGTGCTTGACAGCTTTAAATTGTGGCCTGCAGAACTGCACTGAGCACTCAGGTGAGGCCACACAGCCCTGAACACAGAAGATAATATCCTCTCTTGTGCTCGAGGCTCCTGGCACTCTGTTTGCCCTCTGGGCTGCCAGAGCATGCTGCAGGCTCACCCTGAGCCTGATGTTGAAAACTACTTCCTGTGATAGTTCCCATGGCATTTCCATAGGTAAACTCATCATCATTTCTGAAGATCTTTCACTGGCATCTTGCAAAGTGGAGGAAATTATCAATGGGTATACCACAACCTCTGGGAATCTTCAGATCAAAACCTCCAATGGCCATTAACATATTTTGAAATAATGCTATTTAATAATGATATCTTTGGGAGATTATCGAAATTAATTTGCCCTTAAGGGGAAGATAATGGACCAAAAAGGCCATGGAAAGTACTCAAAATATACTAAAAATATCAAAGTATTAAGAAGCCAGCAGCAGTAGCCATGTCTAGAAAGACATAGACATTAAAACAAATACATATATGTTTAAATTAAAATAACATTATGATTATTTTGTTCCAAAGCAGAGAAAAAGTAAAGCAAATAACTTTTTCCTTCCCAATTTCCTGTATGATCTGTCGGCACACATTTTTTTCCAGTAAACTGAAAATAAAACTGATGTGAATATTCCAGGTGGGCAGCAAGGGGTCACCTTTTCTGCCTTCCAGTCAAAATATTGTGTTTTCCAAATACTTCAAAGACCTTATTTGGATATTATGTGTTTTTTAAAAATGGGATTTTCAGCAGAATATCAAGGGAAATTTCCATTGCATTGTTCTGCACACAGGAGTTCAGAAATCATTCAAAGTAAAATGGTTTAAAAGTGCACCCAGGAAATGGTAGTAAGGGCAGTGTTTAAAAGAAATTAATTCTGCTCCTGATGAGTCAGTGCTGTCTTATTGCTTCTGAGAGCCTCTCTGTCCCCAAATTCACCTGGCTGGGGAAAACATTACAGCAAAGCTTCCTTACCAAAACAGTGGGAAGTGCACCCTGCCCCCTCTGGCTCCAGCCATAACCAAGAATGGTGGAGCAAACTAAACTTTTCTTGTTCCCCTCCTCCTTTCCAAAAAGGAAAATTGTCAGGTTACAAATGATTTCACAGTAGTGAATCAGGCTTCCCAACTCAACATCCAAATGTTTTATTTGCTTCCAGTCAAACAAAGATCTTTGGAGAAGATAAGTCTCTTTTGACTATCTAATCAATTGTCAAAAGAGAAAATCAAGGTTCAACAAATACCAGAAAAAGGAAATAATGTGTCAAGTTATAAATCCATTATGTGACAAAACCTTTTGGAAAAGCAGTAGGCCCTGTAGAATTGGAATAAAGCAGAGAAGATCATGGTCAGCTAGAAAAGTTCTAAAATCTTCACACACAGAATGAGTAGGAAGACTAGATTATTTAGCCTACCAAAGAGATGGCAGATATGAGAAGCGGTGTCAACAAAAGAACATAATAGAAATCGAGGAACCAATGTGTAGAAGGGAGAAGGTAAGTAGAGCTTGACTGTTCCTTACCTCTTTACAGAATACATTTGAATGAAATGAAAATGCAAGGTGATAGACTCAAAGCAAAGATGTTCTTGTTCAGCAATGGGCAGCCTCTAGGCATAGAACCTTGTAAGTACTACTTACAATGGTTTATAATGAATTTGGGTAAATTCAATGAGGGAAAATGATGCCAAGTAATCACTCACATGATAAATGCTTCTGTTGCCTAAGGGAATTCCTGGTCACAAATTCCTTGAACCTATAACACTCCCCTTGAAAAGAATTTTCTTTCAGTTTCCCTGCTGTCATAATATTGGTTGGTACTGGCTAGTGCCCGCCTGCAGAGACAAGTTCATAGAACAGAGGAA